AAAAACAAACAAAATTATAAGCATAACTTCAAGGATAAATAGTTGTGTATTTAAAAAAAAAATCAGAGCTGCCAGGAAACTATAGTAAAGGCCAGCAGACCACAGATGAATGATAACAGCAGCCAAAGCAATCAAATATCAATTCCTACAATAAACAGTATGTAAGTATATTGATTCTACACAACTCACAAGCATGTGAATATTGTAAATCAGCTACTGAGCTTAGCACAGCTCCGGCTGTGAAAAATAAAATTCATTTTCATTCAGTGAACTCAAGATATTTTGCTACAAAAGTATTTTGCATAGCATTTTGTTCAAAGGAATAAAGTATGAAAGCAAAAAAGATTAGGCTCCATAAGCAAGCTAACTACATCAGAAGCAAAGCAATAAATAATACAAGTAATTCTAAACACCTAGATCTGCTACAAGCCAGCGACATGAATTATCAGCAAAGTGCAAGTTTCTCATTGGGTCTTACTCCAATAACTCTCAACCCTTCAGCAAAGTCCAATATTGCATCCTCCAACTGAAATTTTGATTAGAAAGACTCAGAATCAACATTGGAATAAACAAAATTCATTTTATACATCAAGATCATAAAATATCCCGAGTCACATATCAATGACCATTCTGGGTATATATCCAGGTAGATGTCATAGAACTCACCCATAGTTTCTTAAAAGTAAGAAATAAAACCCAACAAAGGTCATTGATGAAACAATGATTTTCAAACCTTAAACGTAGAAAATGGTTATTGCCTAATAAAATACAAAAGATAGTAGAAAACAAAAACATACCGAATACTAGCGCAAATGAGACTGCCCTTTCCATTTTATCAAAAATTCCATCTCATTCCAATCAAATTCCGAATCAAACAAGTGACTCATTAATACAGGTTCTGTTGAAATGTATTATTCACATATTCAACTCTAAAAGGCCATCCTAATTAAGGTACTGGAGTTTTTTTGCAGCATCCAACACAACCTATGTTCTGTTATAAAGCAGGTGGAATCAGAAGTATGATAAACACCTACTATTAGTAATATTCTGTGAACCAGCTTGAATTAAAAGATGATGTTGATAGTAAAGAACAGGTACCAAAAATAACTCAAGTTAAACAACATAAACTATCATGAATATGCATCACTCGGTTGGTAGAACTTATCATTTTATACCTAAACAATACATTAAAAGACAAATAAAACAGAGAGACACAATAGCCTACTCTCTTGGTATGTTCACCTGCTAATTTTTTTTATTGGTTTATATAAAAAGAATTTCTAAGATCAGTAGCACATTACAGATATGAACTTCTTCATATAACTAATTATTTTTATATTGGTTTATAACGAGATAATATAAGTCTTGGTCTTCTCTCCAAGAGCTTTAATTGTTATCAACCAATTAAGAACGTGCAAAAAACTAAACAAATAAAGGGAATCGGTTTAAGAACGAAAACAAATTGCAAATTGATAAAGA